ACCCCTGCAGGACAATCTAAAGCCCTGGCCATCTTTCCAGTCGAAACCAAACTTTCCTCACCTGGCCCTACGTCTGGCCTCTCCCCTGAGCCCACCTACGTGCCCACCCTCACCCCACACCTGCCTGGAGGCCCCGCTCGCTCACCTGCCCTTGAGATGTTGCGGGCTGCCCAGGCAGCAGAACCGCCCATTCACCATGATGGCCAGGCGCGAGCAGAGCGCTTCACACTCCTCCATGCTGTCGGGACCCGGCACCACGAGCTCTGTTGAGGCCTGGGCCACCTGTGCCTGGCGCCACACTGCCTGCTTCCCCGGGCCTGGACCACCCTTCCGGTATGGACATCTCCCCACCCTTCCCCAGAGCGTTCTCATCCTGGCGCCGCGTCCCACCTCTGTGTGTCCTTACACCCCGGGTCCTGGCGCCCTCGCCCCACCAGGGCCAGGATCCCCCCCATCCCCTGTGGCCTTGTGCTTTGGGGATCTCTCTCCAGGCCTGGATCGCCTTAACCACAGCCCAGGACATCCGCGCCCGGCGCACCTGTGGGAGGTGAGCATCACTGAACGGCCCTCCCGCACCACGGCCAAAAGGCTGTTCCAGAGGAAGCGCCGTGCGCTGGGGTCCATGCCTGTGGTCGGCTCGTCCTGGGGAGCATGGAAAATCCCATAAAAGCAAGGCCCCGCCTCTGTCGCGGGCCCCACCCCACCCCGGCACCTCCCCCACGCACCAGAAACACCATGGCTGGGTCCCCAACCAGTGCCACGGCCGTCGCCAGCTTGCGTTTGTTCCCTCCGCTGTAGGTGCCTGCAGGCCGGTCTGCGTACCATGAGAGTCCCAGGCGCGCTAGGCCCGAGCCAGCAGTCTGTGGGGTGGGGCCAAAGTGGGCATGAGACTCATATTGATGACTAAGGGGCAGGGCCACAGTGTGGCAGGGCCAGCACTGAGTATGGAGCAGGGGCACAGTGGGCATGGGGCAGGGCAAATGTGAGAATGGGACAGAGCCATAGTGTGGTGGGGACAGCGTGTGGGGTGGGGCCTTGGTGTGGGTGGAGCTGGGATGGGTATGGAGCTGGGCCATGGAATGGGTGGAGCCAACATGGGTATGGGGTGGGGCCATGGTGTGATGAAGGCAGCATGGGTATGGGCGGGGCCATGGTGTGGGTGGAGCCAGCATGAGTATGGGGCGGGTCCATGGTGTGGGTGGAGCTGGGATGGGTATGGAGATGGGCCATGGAATGGGTGGAGCTACCGTGGGTATGGGGTGGGGCCATGGTGTGGGTGGAGCCAACATGGGTATGGGATAGAGCCACAGTGTGGGTGGAGCCAGCTTGAGTATGGGGTGGGGCCATGGTGTGGTGAAGGCAGCATGGGTATGGGCGGGGCCGTATGGGTGGAGCCAGCATGAGACGGGGCAGGGCCATGGTGTGGGTGGAGCCAGCATGAGTATGGGGCGGGTCCATGGTGTGGGTGGGGCCAGCATGAGTGTGGGGCGGGTCCATGGTGTGGGTGGAGTCAACATGTG